GTCCTAAATTAGCCATGCTGGGCCTTCTTGGCAGCTGTCACTCTTCACCAGTACTATCTGAAGACTAATAAAAATTGTATTCATGAATGAAATTTAGTTGGATCAAATTTAGACCATAGATTTTTTAAAGTCATATTTTAAATGCTTTCAAAATAACTAGTTATTTGGAAGAATTTCGAAGACATATAAGTGTGTGTGTGCGCTCACATGTGTGCATGTGTGTAATATATTTTGCCTTCAAACATAAAGACATTGTATGGCTTTTCACCTGAGCATGTTGTGTTTTAGTAACTCAAGAAGTGCTCTCTCTCCTCATTGACAATGAATATAAATAGCTCAGTTTTTCCTCCACATCCCATCTTGCTTTTGTAGTCCTGGGAATGACCACTAAGATTTTCCAAAGTTGACTATTCTGAGGAATGATTTGAGTTGGGATATATTGCACTAGTTGAATTACACTCATTCAATGATGGTTCACAGAGAAATGAAATGACTCACCCAAAGTCACAGCAAAAATGGTAATGTGTAGTATAAATTCTGTTTTTTCAAAAACGAACGCTAGACTATCTAGACATAAGATACATATAATTTTAGAGATGATTAAACATTTATTCTTAAGAAGCATTTTCCTAAGTAACAAATTCCAGTCACCATGACCCAAGATTTTATTATTAGTATTTCAAGTGTTCAAAATGAACAAAATATACTTATATTTTCCCTCTATTTCTCTATATGAGCACATACGCTTACTTACATAATACAAAGACACACATATACGTACACACACACACACACACACACACACACACAAGCATAAATAGACTTCCTTTAAATACACAAAGTATAGTTTCAATTTTGTAACATTTTAATATGACACAGTAGTAGTCAGCCACCAAAATTAACTTTGTTTTCTACAGCTTTATATTAGTAAAGTGTATTGAACTCAGTGATACTGGGCCTGCTTCACTTAGGATCCTCTTTGAGTATATTATGATTTTTAGTTATTGGAAATTCATTCAGTATACTTCAAAATGTCAATTTCTACAGTGTAGAAAGAAGTTAATATTCCCCTTTAAATCAGTAGTTTGGATATGACCTAATACCTTCAATAAATATAAGTTGTTAGAAATGGTCTATACCACCCACTGCACAGCAGTGAAAGAAATAATATAAGCCCTAAATGACAACCAATTTATTTTTGTTTTACTTGATTTTGAAGAGTGTAACCAAAATACTAAATATTTGAAAAATATGTACCTTAGGGTCACCTATATTCCCATTTCCCTAATGACAGCACTATTAGCATTATGGGATCATTAAACTTTATATTTTAATTACTTCTTCTTTAAAACACTCTGAACACAGGATCTTTTTAGAGACCACTTTCATTCATGTTAAGGTTTTACCAATTTCAATTTTTTTTTTAATTCAAAAGGCAAACTCTCCTGGCTTATATTCACAATTACTAATTTTATAAAAGTCCTTTCTATTTTCAGCTGATAAAACATATCCTAGAAGAACCAGGTATTCAAAATTTTGTTTTGTATAATCTTTAAGTAAAAATTTGTTATGCAAAATGAAGTAACTTTATAATTCTTATAATTTTTTATGAGCTAAAGCTATCCAAAGTTTCACAAGCTATTTTCAAAAGTAAGTATTTGCAATTTTCTCTGTCAGTGGCACTAAGTTTTAGACAAAGCTGTATCCTTTTGGTTTTAAGTTCTCTTCTCTGAGCACATATTGAGAACAAATTAAATGATTCTGTTCAACCAAGCACACTGATCCACTCAAAGTATGACTGAAATGTATCTATCTATTGGAGTTGTGCCATATATCATATTAATTATTCATAGCTATCTACTCTATCCCTCTTTTATAGATATAAGAAAGTTTTACTGCCTAAATTATTATGATATTCTCCTTCAGATTATTATCATATAATGTGCACTTGGAACTTTAAAATTTTAAATTTATAAAGATCAGAGCCAAAATTATTTACTTTATAAATTGCATGCTAGATGTGTGTGGTGGCTCACAGACATTATTCTAAGGAAGACTGTTAATATTTTTATTTTCTTCTCAAAGGAAATAGACAAAATGACTATTTTAACTATATTTAGATTGTGATAATTGAAGGTAACCGCAACAATATAAGTGAAATTTTCAATTTAATGTAATTTTTTTCAAGGCACTATCTTAGAAAATTAGCATTTGGTGCTAAGTTTTCTAGTTAAATATTTATGGCTTTATTGGGTAGAGTTGGATGTTTTGAATAAAAAACCTACCTCACAAAAATGTATTATAAATATATTAATGGTTCACTATTTTTCTAAGCTATTGATACGTGAGGTTTCTCAAAACACCACCAGACCTAAACTCTGCGTACCTCCACTGTCCTAAAAAGTCATAAACTTGGGCAAATCGATTCTCTCTTTTGGCTTCATTTTGTAGAGAAGTTTTCTCAACAAGAGAAATTTTACTCTGGGGTGACAAAGAAGTAAGGGAAAATTATTGTTTTCATAACAATTTCTAAGAATCTACTTTTCCTTATTTCTTACTTCTATCTGTAACTGTAATATACTGAACATTGATTACACTGACAAAAAGGAGGAGTGGCAGCTACACTTTGTTTCTGTGTATTTGTGTTTCAAAACAAGTTAATATTCATTTAACCCATAGCTTTATTGGACCCCAAGCACTCAGAAGTGGAGTTAATGATCTCAGATGTATAGCCAACCATTTTCTACTTTTTAGGGCATGGAGAGTTTGACTACTTCAGTAGGGCTACCATTTCAACTCAATAGCTTCATTATAACATTTAATTAATTTTTTCATTACTTAATGCTGTAACGCCACACCCAACCCCAACAATGTCACTGCAATTTCAGGACCATAAACATCACTCTACAGAACACATATAATATCAAAATGTATTTTTAAACACTTTTTTACAGAATGAAATATGTTTTTATTTTGTTTCTATCATGGTAATGCCTATGGTCTTTAAAGGATAATCTCTGGAATTTAAGATCTCTGGAAAAGTTTTAGAACCACTTGTTCTGAAGTGCTAGCTCTTTAAGAATATTTCTTGGTGATTCTTACAAATAAAAATCACCATTCTAATATAAACGTTAAGAGAAAATGAATGAATGGGACTGGATTTTCCTTTTATTTTTATATTACTAGTTTTTAAGAAGATCTCAAAATAGAAGACAAATCTAGAATAAAGCAGGATGAACTTGTTTTACTAATATTCACAAATATTATATAAATGTCAGCCTGCAATAGAAACATCAATCCTTGTTAGACTTTTATATAAATTTTTTTATTCTCTTTAATTTTTAAGGGCAATTGCTCATACAGCTTTCTTTCAGGAATTTGTCTGGGATTACTTTTCTTATTTTCAATCAAACAAAAAGAGAAGAAAATGAACTCTGCGAAGAATGGCTCCATATTCCAAATTACACTGAGCTGGAGATTACTTCAGACTCAGTGCTTTGTCTGAAAACATTTTCATTAGCATCTGCGTTTAGGATTATGGAAAGATTTGGGAATATATTATCAAAGAGCAATTTATATTTTTCAACTCTTATAACTAGTATTAAAAAGGGCAAAGTCTTTAAATTGTCATTAAAACTTTCTTTCAAAAAAGCAATCATGTAAAATTGGATACTAAGATGACGCAGAGCCAGAACTTTACCTCTCTTTACTAATTTATTCTTGTAACAAGGCCTAGGCAGTCACAGTCTTTGCACTTTTTGATCAACTTTACCAAGTAAAGAATAATTTGCATCCAGTATTACTTATTAACAAGTTGGAAATCTGTGACCATTTTCCTACTCATAAACACATTCCTATATATGACCTTTAAAATTAAATAATCAGACACTGATCCAAACTTATTCTCATGAAAATGAAAATAGTATAACATGAAATGCCTTCATTTGAGGTGATTGTTACAGAAAGGGAAAATACTCAGAACCCAAATCTCTCTCTTTTTATTTATAACTATTTGCATCACTTAGTTTTGGATTAGTTTAACAAGAATACACATTATGTCTTTGGGGATGACAGCAACACTGACAAACAGTCCCTGTTATGTTTGTCATTATGTTATTGCTAAATCATCCACAACATCATGACCTGATTTTAGTTACCAGGGACAAAGCCAAAATGTAGAATTTAAGTTTCATTCTGATTACATACATAAAGCCAGCACTTAAGAAAACTTTGAAAAGTGATCTATGTCCAGTAATAAAAAAACAAAAAGTAAAAAGGAAAGGAAAGGAGGAAGGAAGAAAAGAAAGAAAGGAAGGGAGAAATAAGGGAAGGAAGGCAGGAAGGCAGGAAGGAAGGAAAGGAGGAAAAAACACATCTTTAAACGCCTTAATACAATTACACAATAGGCCTGACATTCTCTATGCTGGTATAATAACTAAATGGCAAGTAACACAGAAGCAGTTATCCCTATGAGATTTCTGCTGCATGCTTTAATTAAAACTAAAAAATGTACAACAAAATCAACCCTTGGGTAAATTGCTCTTTGGTTTAAATCTTCATTACCTCCTGGAATTTTGGTAAAGTCACTTTGTTTTTAAATTAAGCTGGCCCCTCCTTCTTTACTTGATTACAAAAGTCAAACAACAAGAACCAGACATAAATTTTAGGATGAAAAGAGTTTTGTGTGTATGTGTGTTTGTAAGTCCAACCCCTGTATACAAACTGTTGAAAAACAGATGTTTTAACATAGTGCTTTATTCCAACTTAATATCATCCTTGAATGAACTTCCTTCAAGTTTCAACCATTTAAGGAAAAAAAAAAAAAAAGCAGTCAATTTCCTGGTGGTTGTAATTTAATTAAGTAACCTTTCACACTGAGCAAAACCCAAAAGCAAAAGGGTCATTACTCTTTCTAGTGATTAGAGATACCTCTAGAGCTTCAAACATTTACCTCTCCTTTCCCACAGTAGAAACGCTTTTAGGAGGATCATGGTTCATACCTCACATTCCCTGGAGCCAGAGATGGTATATGTGCAGGGCCCAGATCCATTTACCGATATATCCATGGTCTCAGAGTTTGTAGGCTTGTAGTCCACATAATACTCCTGTAAAGGGGAATTCATTTGTCTTTCAGACTCTCTGGTCTTTTTCCGCCGCCTCTTCATAATAGAATGTTGCTGAAGTTGTTTCATGCTGGCTGGGTAGCGTTTCCAAGACACATAGATTACCAAGAGGATCATGGCCACTGAAAGAAAGAGAGCCACGCTCCCTGCAATAATTTTGTGAAATGAAACATGCTCATACTCTTGCTCTGTGCCAGGAATCTGAAACCCTGGGGAAGGGCTTGGTGTTTCAAGAGTGGACTGGCTGGGGTCAGATTTTGAGGTTGTCGGTTTAGGGATAATTAAAGGCTTCTGGGGAGTTTGGGGCACAAGCTGTGATTTTTCTGTGTTGACCACCTGGACTTCAGAACAGATATTATATGTTTCCACTGCATCACTAACCTTTTCACCTTGGATATGCTTAGGTCCTGCACATATCATGGTGCTTTCCTTATTTCCTTTAAAATTCTTAAGCCAATAAAATAGAGGACAAATGCTCCGACTGCATTCCCACATATTCCCAGACAAAGTGATGGATATTAATGATATCCACGCATTGACAGTTTCCTGTGAGATGTTGGTAAGCTTGTTGGAATCCAAATTCAATTTTTGCAAATTGGGCAAACATTTAAATGTGCCTGGCTCAATTCCTTGGATATCATTCCCTGATAAATCCAAGTTGTGTAAGGAACTCCACGTCCATGTCAAGCCTTGGCTAATGGAGCGAATCCTGTTCCATTGTAAGTAAATTGAGCGGAGGTTGAAGAGACGTGGAAAATGAGCAAAGTTGATCTTGGAAAACTGATTGTGCTCCAAGTGGAGCTCTTTTAACTTCAACAGGCCAGCAAAAGCATTTCTGGACAAGCTTCGAAGACGATTATAACCCAAATCCAGAAAGTCGAGATTTCGACAGTCTTGAAAAACTCTGATGGGCACTGTCTTTAACGAGTTAGATCTCAAGTGCAAAATGATGAGTTTCCGAAGGCCTTTAAATTGTTCAGATTGCAATGTCTGAAGCTTATTGTAGGAGAGGTCCAGACTGCGGAGATTGGGAACCGGGTGAAATGTTTTATTGTGCAGATAGGTAATTTTGTTGGAGCTTAGAATTAATTCTTTCAGTCTACGGATCCCTTGAAATGCATCTTCATCCACTGAGCTAATGTAATTATGGTCAAGATAAAGCCATATAAGCTGGTTAAGGCTGGCAAACTGATTGGATTTGAGTTTCTGAATGCTGTTGAACCTTAATGATAAGCCTTGTGATCCTCCAGAAATGTTCTCAGGGATATCTGTGAAAGCATGAGACTCACAGTACACAATTTTGCCATCACATCTGCAGTTCTTTGGGCAAGCTTTCTGAGCCCCCGTGAGCATAACAAGCAGCAGTGTAGGAAGTAGCACTAGCACTACACGCATGCCTCTCAGCTGCGTAATTAAATGGAAACCTACAATATTAAAAGAAGACAAATGCACATTGTAAAGCTATTAATGTAAATCACCACCAGCTTACCAATATCAGGGGCATTTCATCTAGTGTAGTAATGGGACAGTTGATTTAAGAACAATGTATTTGACACTTAAAGCTTTATTTTCTTCAGTGTTGCATGTTTGCTATTTAGGTTTCATGTTTTCTTCCTTGATTTCCAAATCGCCAGTGTCATAGAACTAAGCACAGCTTCCTGAGTTTCAGGAGTTCATACGTGCATCAAATACTGAAAAACACCGAAGCTATCGTATCACATAATGGCGACATTTAATAACATCAGTGTTTGGCTAGTCACTCTATTGAACACCAGTACTAAAAGGAAGAGTACTAAGTCTTCTGGTAATGGGAAAAATGTATCTTAGTAAGCCCTGTACTTGTACATCTTTCTTAGTTGAGTAAAGAGGCTGTGATTTGGCAAAGGAGCTTCAGTAAACTGTCAAGGTAACCCAAGTTCTCCTTGCTTGAAATTGCATCCTTATTGCATAATGAGATAACCATATAGGAGCTCTGAAAAAATGTCCCTGGGACCAGTATAAACAGCCAGTGAAGCATGGTATGAAGACTAGTAACAGCAGGAGGTACTCTCAATGTGTTAATAAGCATATATGCTCTCAACGTTCAGGAAGAGATTCCTACTGAGGCTCTCCTGCTCAGTGATCACAGGCTCAGTGTCCTAACTACTAATAACACAGAACACTCCAAAGCTATGACTATCAAATTCTTATTAAATATTTGCATAAAATACAAAATAATCTTGGGTAGCACTAGTTTTTTTCTGATATATTTAACACAGTTGGTTTTGCAAATTTGGAGGATAAACAAGCAGAGAAACAGCAGAGTATTATTTCCCCCCTATCCCAACCTGTTCAAATTTCTCACGACTTTTTTTTCTCCCCAGCCTCCATTAACTTCAGAAAACCTGCAAAGTTGCAATCTATTGGCACTTATGCTGCATTTCCAAGTCATAGCATGTTAAAGGACTTCTTTCCTCTATCAACAGTAGATTTATTATTTCTTAGCGGTGAGGGGAAAAAAAAGTACCTTGTGCTGCAGTTTCTTTATTAATCTTAAATATTCACGTTTTTAACCAAGAGGCAATCAGCCAAATCCCTAATTTAAAAAACAAAACAAACAAACAAAAACTTCTTTTACTGTTAAGAGTTTTTTTTTTTTTTAAATTTGAAACCCAATCTTGCTCTCTGTCCTCTTGCCAGCTACAGACTCATTGAAATACATTCCAGCTCTCCCAGACAGGAAAAAGGGGTGGGGGGGGGGGGGAGCCAGTCACACTTGAAAAAAAAAAACTGGCAAATGACTGCTGGAAAATTTGAAGCTGGGTTCAAGGGAAATTCTCAAAAATCAAACAAGCCCTTGTGCGACCTCTGATAAAGTAATGACCCCACCCCTACACACACGCAGTAAAGTGTTAACAATCTTCCTGACAGCAACCAGAAATACAAGCATGGTTAATATTATCAAGAAATAGAAGGAAACATAACATTTATCTCACGCTCAATTCCCAAGCCAGGATACGCATTCGGAAGAGACAGTCTGAAAAATATTTCTCCAGTCTGTTTAAGTCCATGTTATGCATTTACAGTTTAAAAAAACGAGAAAAAGGAAAATGATCTAAAAATATAATAGCAACTATAGTGAGTCAACTGGCAAACTCCGAGGCTGCCGCTTTTTGCCTGTTTTCCCGTCTTTTATCAGCTAATGCCACGACTGAGAATACGAAGCCAAGAGGATCAGCTTTACTAAGAAGGAAACAACAAAAGTTCACTTACCCATCCTTTGTCATCCAAAACGGTTCCCCCCTCTCTCAGCTTTCTTCTTGTTTGGTCTCACGTGTTGAAACCACCACCACCTTCATGATACAGTGCGGCTGTCATTCACACCATTCTGATCCCACATGTCAGCTAGTAGCCCCATACAAACTTCCCCAGAGGGGACAGACAAAAAATATATATATACATATAGGAAAAAAAAAAAAATCAGCACGTAGTGGGTTGGGGGGCAGGGAGAAGGAAGCGGTGGGGGGGGGGGGGAGGGCCTCTAGGCTCTGAGCATCATTGTGTAATTCACCAGAGACCCATCAGCAGTAATTGGCAATCTGTGCAAAAGAGCTACAGCCCATCTCGAAGGTAACCAACTTCTCTGTAAAAAGAGAGGAAAAAAAAAGAAAAAGAAAAAGAAAATCTTCAGAATACCTGGCATTCCTTATTGTGCTGGCTTTTGCCATTCCCAGATAAAGCAAATCATCCTCTGGATTTTCAGTTCTTCAAGCAAGTAGGCCTCCTGTGCTGTATGATACCCCAGTTTAAAAGCTATGCAGGCTAGGTTTATCCATTTAGCTGGTCAGGTTTAAAGTGTTTTGTAGCTGTGCTGAGAGGCAGGCCTTGTCTAATTCAGAAGGCTTTCCAGAGACTGATGTTGCTCAGAGCTTGTTGGTGCTAATGCTTGAGTTTGTGATACACTGAGTGCCCTCCGCTGGAGAAAACAGATTGCACATTAAAGACAGGAACAAGTGAGCCTGTCAGTGGTGTGCAGCCTTCCCTCTCTCAGAAAGGGAAATTAAAGGCACAGGATCACTTTTTTTCTCCGATAATATATGTTATGAAAGGTTTATGCCAAAGAGTTCCATTCAGTGATTTCAAATATTAAGTAAAATACTGCATCTCTAAATATTATTCAATTAGTAGTTTTTAAAGTTTCCTTGACCTGATTTTTTTCTACATATATCACAGGGGATATATGTTTTTTAACAACAGAAATAATTTCAGTTTTATTTTTATTGATGTTGTTTTGTTCTATTTACAGAGTTTTAAGCAAACCAAAAAGAGAAACAGTCTTTTTTAGTAGAATTATGTTTATTTTCATTCAATAACTTAATTCAGCCTGTTCAATGTCCATATTTCCATTACTCTCTTGATGGGTCATATGGACAGAGTGCTCAACAGGTATAAACAGCCCAAACTGAACCTCATTAGCCATATATGCAGAATTCTAATGCATTAGCCAGGAATTAATAGAGGCCTTTCCCTTGAGAATAAAGTCATACTCAAGGAAAAATATCACATTTAAAGATAGTTACATTAAAAAAATTTAGGTCTAACTTTTAAATTCCCAACTTTTGATAATAAAATATATTCTGCAGTTTTGCACATTTATTGAGGAGTCTAGATCATTACTTTCAAAAGTGCACATTTATGGCCTAAAACAGTCATCTTTAAATACTATACTACCAAATGTGCATGTAACTAAGAGAGACAACGTTAGGTAAGAGAATTCCTGCTTCACATCCTTATTGCAATCACTGTCTTTAAAATTCATTTACTTTTTTTTTTTTTTTGCTGTACGCGGGCCTCTCACTGCTTTGGCCTCTCCCGCTCGGAGCACAGGCTCCGGACACGCAGGCTCAGCAGCCAAAGCTCAGGGGCCCAGCCGCTTCGCGGCATGTGGGACCTTCCCAGACCAGGGCACGAACCCGTGTCCCCTGCATTGGAAGGCAGGCGGACTCCCAACCAGTGCACCACCAGGGAAGCCCTCATTTACATTTTAATGCAAGGTTTTTCCTATGCAAGTCAGTTATCATAATGGGCAATTCCAGAAAAACAAAAGCATGTGAGTTCTACATCATTGTTGTATTCTCTAATTTTTGCAGAATATCCTCAGAATTAGAAGGGATAAAATGATATAATACCCAAAATATGTATTTTTTTTAAATGACACACTTTCCTTAACTTGTACTAAACTTTTAAAATAATTGTATAACTCATTACCTCCATTTTGTTTCTTTTCTTATTTATTCCATAATCTTCTGGGAGATAATTTTTTGGAACAATCTAGAATAATGACCCAATACAATACAGAGAGAGACTGCTAGATAAGTGTTCTAACCTAATTTAGCAGGTGTTGGAAGCATAACTGAATTTTACATAAGCATGTAGGATTACTGTGGATCATTGGAAATGGATATTTTTAGAAATAGTCATTGATTTCAGATTGTCTACCAAAATATTAATAAGTAAGGGGGGTTATCATATGAATAATATATATTATTTAATTCAGATTTATAAGTAAGCAATATCAGGCAATTGCTTAATTACAAGGATTTCTCAAGGAACAAATAAATCCTTTTCTCATTAACTGATACCTAAATTTCTACTTTAGAAAGTATACCTTTGGTTTAAGGCTTAATACTTATTAAATGCAAATGAACACCAAAAGAGATTAATGAAAAGTATATACCTTTCTAAGGAAACTAACATAAATGATACACATATAATTTGTTTATAGTATTGTGGTTTACATAGAAATAAAAACCCCACCTGAATATTCAATGATAGAGGATTAGTTCAGGAAAGTTAATATATTCATGAACTAGAACACATACTGCCATTGAAATTAAAATGGTTTGTATTTGCTGAGAGGGTATGAGGAGCACAATGTATAAAGCAAGAATAGGAGGGACGGAGAACACAGGTACTAATAATTATAGGGAGTCTATATCTGTACATATTTTTATGTGCATGGGCACAAAATAAAGCAGATTTTCCTGGGAAATTAATTTTGGGTGTACTTCATTTCATTGTTTATGATTTTTTCATTTATTTGTAGCTTCTATTTTTTTTTAATATAATGAATATGTGGTACCTGAGATGTTTATATATGTATGTGTATGTTTGAATGAAAGACATGAGAACAGTTTTGATAGTAGATTGGAAAAATCTCATGGTGTTACCCACATTTATGGTGTAATAACCAGCTAAAATTCAAATTTTGTTTGAAGTACTAAGATCTAATATATGTGTATTCCAAAGGAAATACTAGACCATACACAGAATTTATAAAGAATCTTGTCAAAAATCAGTTACAGTTCTCCTGAACACACTATAAGGACATTAAAGGGTAGAGAGAGCTGAGAGTAACAAAGGATATTGTGTGGAGGATTTCTTTGGAAAGAGCTGTCCCTGTATTACCACATGTGCATATGCATAAGACACACACACATAAACACACACACACACATCCCCTCACCCAAAAGAAGGTGGAGGGCATGTCAGCTCCTCAGCTTAATTGTAGTGCAAGGGGCTTCTTCAGGCAACTTGAAGAGCTTGATATGTCTTTCCCACAGTGAGCCCAGAACTATAGAATGGAATCTGGCTCCTGTCTGAGAAATCCAGAAGATAAAAAATGGGTTTGCCAGAGCAAAGAAGAGTTAATTTAGTGTTGGGATTGGCTTTCACTTTCAGATTTTGTCTAGATAAAAATATGTACAGGTGTTTTCCATGAAAGAGAGGTGGGTTATGAGACAGAGAGAGAGAGGGGGAAAGTTCAAGCCATTTTAAATCCTGGTGATACCCACAACAGAATGAATCTGTGTAAGTGCATTATCCAAACAACACACAGATAAACAAAAAACAAATAGAAACCAATCAAGTTTGGAATGGTACCAGACATATGAAGAAAAAAATGTGTCATCCTTGTCATGGGAATAATAGCCTCTTAATGAGGCTATTAAGGATCTATCAATGTGTCCGTGAGAAAGATAAATATTTTTGACTTCTGCTAGGCCCAGAGATCCAAAAAAACCTTTTTACAATTGTACCAGTCAACCAAAAAGTTTCCTGGGAAGGTCAGAAACAGCAATAAGTAAGTGTGGGAGGAGGTGAGCAAGAATGAGAGAAGCTGACTTCACGTCCTCATTTTTCCTAGGTAGCAGATGGCCCATCTGCAACTGGTCCTCCAGGGGAACAGGGGGAGAATGCTTAAGCTTTATAAGAAATAAGAGGTATTAATTAATATGATGGACAATATTTTCACTTACTAAATTGAGACATTATGAACTAAGGATGTAATAGGAATTTTTGTTACCTCAAAGAGAATTCACTAACCTCCCTTTGATAATTTTAAATCGACCATGGTAGGAGTATTTACACAAAGGAAATCCACAAAAGCTAAAATTTAAGGCATGATCTATTGTTTTGTTGAGTGTCTAGTATTAAGAAATCGATGGAGGATATATTAGTATTACAGATTAATCTTAAAAGTACACTGTATCTGTAGCTATTTAATTACAAATAGCACAAAAATTGAGATATATCCTTCCAGTATTTGAAAACTATTAGCTGATTGAGCAAAGAAATCACTCATGCCATTGCCAAGCAAAATGCCAACATATGTCTATATTATTTCACTTTTGTCTTACTCATTAATGTATCAGATGTATTCATGTTGGACACATGTCCCCCCCGCCACACACACACACACACACACACAGACACACACACACAGACACACATTGAAAATGTTTAGAAATAATTTACTCATCAAGACACATTTTAATTATGTACATAATTCAGTTTCAACCTGAAGAGGAACATTGAATCACCTTTTTCAAAATGAATGACCTCTTCTTCTTTTTCACTTTACTCATTGTAATTTAATAGTACCTCATTTCTGATAGTAGTGATAATTACTTACTTGTTAAAATTTTAAAGAAAAATAACATCTTATTATATGTGTTCGGCTGAATTTAGGAATCTTAAGGTCCATACTTAAAGCCTTTAATCTCAGTGTGTAAATCATGATAATATTCACATTATTAATATAGACACAGAAAAAATTGTACTAAAATACAGATACATAAAAATGGACTATTTCTGTCTTATTTTATTAACCAGTGAACTAACATATCAAAAGAGAAAAATATATTGATAATCTATGATAGGATATTAATGAGTAGATAATGATAATGTAAAACATGATAATGTAAAGCATGATAAAACGTGTGGCAATTGGACATTAAGCCAATAAAAATTAAAATGAGAATATAATTTATAGATTATGATAAATGTTAGTAAATTATAAAGTATGTTATGAAGCAGAATAATGGGTGATAGTTTGCATTAGAGAATTGGGAAAGGAATCTTTAAAAATAATCTTTTATGGGCTTTCAAGTAAAATACTCTTATTCATTTGTGGGATAAATAAATTATCATAGTTTAGACTAAATGAATGAGAGGAGTGAACTAGGCAAAAATTAAGGACAACAGAGAAGAACACAACATAGAAAACAATAAGAAAATAGTTTGGGAAGAGGTAAATGCTTGTCTTTGTTTGACTAAATAATAGGAAAAAACAAGCAGACAATAGAAATAGACTCACAGATAATTCAACAGTAGAGTTATCAGACACAGACTTAAAAATAATTGTCGTTATTATCTTAAAAAAATAGATCACAAGATGGGGGATTTCAGTAGCTCAATGAAACTTGTAAACGAGAATCAAATCAAAATTATAAAACTAAAAACAGAATGGAAGTTATTGAAATTAGTCACTCTATAGATATATTTAAATGGAAATTGGGCAGAACAGAATGGAAGATTACATAGAGAACTAGATAACACAATAGAATGGGAAATTTAGTTTAGGGACTTTCAAATATATATGTATATTTTTTTTTCACCATCATCCATAGAAAATAATATATTTTACTGAATTAAAAATACCTTTCATAAAGCAATATTTCT